TAGCCCTTTCATCTTTTGTTTTCTGGTAGCTCTGTACCTCTATTGCTTATTTTCTTTTGTACTTCTGTCTGTCATTTTTGTTTAGTGGTGTTTCATACTTCTTTCCTCTATGTCCTTTTTAAAGCTATGTGTCCTGGCTTGGGAAGTTTTGAGTGCGGTTACCATTAGGTTTATAAAAAATAAAGTTGCATATATACAGTAGTGTTTTTTTATTTTGAATGCATGTAATGTTCATCCTCCTTTGCCAGTTCAGGCCTGTACCTCTTTCCCTTTTATGTTTTTGTTGTCACAAATTATTCTTAATTATGCTGTAAATTTTTTGGCGATCTTACTTGTAGTGCTGTGACCTTATGTTTTTTGTTTCAGGTAGAATAATTCCCTTAAGTATTTCTTGCATTGGAGGTTTTCTGGTGATACATTCTTTCAGCTTTTGTATGTCTGGGAATGTCTTTATTTCTCCTTCATATTTAAAGAATAATTTTGCTGGATATACTATTAGTGGCTGGTAATTTTTCTCTTTCAGATGTTTGACGATTTGGTTTCATTCTATTCTATCTTGTAGAGTTTGTGCTGAAAAGTGGAATGAAATTTTGACGTGTTCTCCTTTGTAGGTCACTTCTTTACTTCCTTGGCTGCTTTGAGAATTTTTTCTTTGTCATTCATTTTTGACAGTTTTAATACAATGTGCTTTGGAGGAGGCCTCCTTGGATTGAAATAATTAGGTGTTCTGTTTGCTCTTTGAATTCTAAGATCCAATTCTTTACATAGGTTTGGGATATTCTCATCCACTATTTGTTTCAATAGACTCTCTGTTCCCTTAGCCCTCTCTTCTTCTTAAGGAATGCCTATAATTCTAGTATTGTTTTTTCTGATAGAGTAAGATAGTTCTTGTAGAGTTCTTTCATTTTTCTTTATGCTCAGGTCTCTCTCTCTTCTTCCCTCTGTGTCATTTCTAGATTCCTTTCTTCAATATCACTAGTTCTTTCCTCCACCTGGTTGGCTCTGTTTTCTATGCTCAGTAGCTCATTCTTAATCTCCTTAATTGCATGCTTCATTTCCAGGATTTCTGATTGGTTCCTTTTCAAAGTTTCAATATCTGATAAAGTATTTGTTTTGTTCATTGATTTGTTTTCTCAGTGCACTGAATTTCTTGTCTGTATATTCTTTCATCTCGTTGAGTATTTGCAGTACTACAATTTTGAAATCTCTGTCACTTATATCACATATTTCCATGTGTTCCAGCTTGTTTTCTGGGGATTTTTCATTTTCTTTCTATTGTCCTCATTACTGTGGTTGTTCATGGTATTTACTCCTCTCTTTTGTTTAAGCATAAATGTCCCTTCTATAGCAATGTACTCTGAAGAGGTCTTTCTACTATTTTCCAGAAGATGGCACTGAATCACAAGCTTTTTTTTAACTCTGATCTCCCAGACTTGGCCTTCAAGAGCGTTCATAGGACAGTACAGTCCTGATGCTTGGGGGTGGGGTTTGTTTTGCCCTCACCGTAATGGCAGCCTGGACCTCAGTTGAGTCCCACTTCAAGCACCAAAGCAGAGGATCAGTCACAGAGGGAAACAGTGGTTCTACTGTAATAGCTCTTGGTTTACAGATAAAATGTTCCTTAACCTGACACCGAGGGCAATGGGGGGGGCGAGTTTGGGAATCCAAGTGCAGCAGGGTTCTGTGGTTCTCTTTTATTGTCAGGAATAATCTCATCCAACAGGGGGACAACCACAAGGCATAACTCCAGGATCTGTCAGGTATTTGCTGGTTCAGTCATTGTTCACTTTGCTTACCCTGTTGGGCTGCCCCAAACAGCTCTCTTTTCTTCCTGGCTGACTGAAGGAAGCACCTGCTACCGCTGGCTTCCTCTTTTTTCCCAGGCAGGCCCCAAGCTCCTAGCTGCAGAGCTGCATCTGCGGGCCATCTGGACTTTTCTTTCGTCTCACCTCCCTGCATATTCCCAGTTGCCCACCTATAGATGTTTCAGTGTGTGGGCATGCCTTGGTGTTGAGTAGGGATTTCTTTGTTGAATTATAATTAGTTCACTTGTTGAAATTTCAGGGGGAGAAGCCAAGGGTATGTCTCTCATGGTCCATTGCTCTAACTTCACTTCTCCTTTCTTAATTTTTTTAGAGGCTCTTTAGATTATTCTCATTTTTTTCTGATTATTTATTTATTTATTGCTGCTCTGATAGGGTGTTTTTTCTACTTTGTCTACCAAATTACTTATTCAATCATCTGCTTCATTTATCCTGCTGTTGATTCCTTTTAGCCTACTCTTCATTTCAGATATAGTATTCTTCATTTCTGACTTTATAATGCTTCCTATGCCTTTTTTTTAAATGCTTGCTATCTCTGTTGAAGTTTTTACTAAGTTCCTTGATTATCCTTATAAGCATTGTTTTGAGTTCTCTATCTGCTACCTTTCTTGCCTTCATTCATTTAGTTCTTTTTCTGGGAATTTCTTCTATTCTCTCATTTGGGTCATTTTTTTGTCTTCCCATTTTTTCTGCTTCTCTGTGGTTGTTTCTGGGTATTATATAGATCTGCTATGCCACCTATTCTTGATTTGGTGGTTTTATTTAGCTGTTGTCTCTTTGGGCTCAATGGCACTGTCTTCATGGTCACCTGAGCTAGTTGCTGCAGGATGTCCCTGGTGTGGGTTTTGTAAGTCCTCCTATTGTAATTGAATATGATTGCTTTTGCTTATCTATGATTGATATCCCTCTGGCTGGCTATGACAATGTATGTGAGGGCTGACTCCACAAAGTTGAATTTTCCTCTACAAGGTCTGGTATTTGCTGAGATCTCTTTTTAGCTATGCCACTTGTGCAGCTAATCGAGTTGTGCTCTGATGTGGTCTGAATCTCACTGCTGGGTGTGTTGGTTCAGTGGTCACTTGCAAGAGAATCCAGTGCAAGTCAGTGTCAGGCACCATCTGTGACTGGGCCTCAGCTACCTGTTTGGAGCTACAAAGCCATCTATAGTTTGTGGCTGTCTCTGCTGAGCCTGTGTACATGGGAGTGGTCAGCACCAGCTCCAATTCCAGGGAAAGTCATCAAAAATCTCCAGGCTCCCTGAGATATCCCTTTGTCTTCTCCTGCCTTTTAGGCTCTGTCACTGAAAGAGCCTATGTAGTACATGAGTTGTATGGGATAGGGTCTCAATGAGTCACAAGGAAGGGACAAGTGGTGTTTACCAGATTGATGCAGAAACAAACTTGACAGTAGTGCTGGTTCTGAAACCATTCATTTATAGCATCAGGGTATACCAAGGTCAGCCACTACCCACTGGGTGCCTGCAGACATTTATAGTGGAGCAGGATCTCAGGGAATTATCAGAGTGAGGCTAGCAGAGTTTTCCAGGCCCAAACAGACTTGGCCATGCAATGGGAGGGTTCTGTATAGGAACTTTGGCATCAGTCAGGCTTGCAAGGGAAGAATGACACCCCCCAAGATACAACTCAGTTTTTCCCAGAGTCTGCCCCAATTTCCTGAGGAACCCTCTGCACAGTATTGCAGAGTGCAAGCTCAACTGGGCGGGGTTACCAGGATCTGGGAGGGTAGAGTTAGTGGTTGTCTCATGGTGGGGCTAGTGGATCTCCCTTTAGGGGACAGGACACCACTAATCTGACTCACAGGAACTGCTGCTTTGGTTTATGGGGTGTGGGGTGCCACTGCTCTGGTTCTCAGGGTGCACAGCTCTGGCTTACAGACTTTCACTGCTCTGGTGCACTGCTGGGAACCCCAGCCACTGCCCTGGCATTCACAGCATGGACAATACTTCTCTGGCATGCGCAGCATGGGGCAATACTGCTCTGGCATGCTGCAGAAGGGAGGGGAAATGGCATCCACCCCAGAGCCACACAACTCAGTCTCTGATTCCCTTTTAGTTCACCCTGATTCCTTCAAGAAAGTCTACACCACAGGCTCAGGTAACAGACTCTTCTGCAGGGTGTGAGCTTGGCAGGACAAGGTGACAGGGAGTTGGGATGGTGGGGCTATGCAGTCTCCCAGACCAATGCAGTATAAAGAGTAGTGCTCAACCCAAGAAAAATGGTATCTGTGTTCAGTGCAGGAGAGGGACACAGTACAGGCACCCTGGTAGTTGTCCTTTCAGCTCTCTCCCTGGACCCACACAACCTAGTCTGTCCTCACATGAATCCAGTGGGCTCTGATCCATTCTCCCTCTGCTGAAATCTAGGGTGAGTAGCTACAAAGGAGATTTTGTGTGCTGACCCTTTAAGAGGGCACATTGTTTTCTAGCAGACTCCTTTCACTCTCTAGCAGAGAGACTCCTCTGTGACCTTTACAGCTAGATGTTATGTGTGTGCCTATTTCTGGCTATGGTGCTCCAGGCTGGGGAGCCAGACATGGGTTTGAGACCCCATGTCCCTAAGGGGAGGACATTTGCAGCTGAGATATCCTTCTAAGTTCTCAAGTGGGTAGGAGACCAGGCCTTTAACATCTCCACAATTTCTACTAATTTTGAGTTGGCTTTTGTAAATCCTTGGTTACAATACTTATGTTCAGCTAGTCTTCAGTTATTCAGGTTAATTATTCCATAAGTTAGTTGTAATTCCAGTTCAAACCTGGAAGGAGATAATTGTAACTTCCACCTGCTTTACCACCATCTTTTTCCCATATAGGAGGGAGATTTTCACACTGAGATTTCATACATGTAAGAGTTTTTAAAAGTAAAATAAGATGCCATAAAAGCAATTAGAGCTCTGTTTTTGGGGTTGTTCAAGAACAAGCTAAATGATCATTTGCCAAGAGTGTTGTGGAGTGGTTAGAGATTCTTGCATTAAAATGGGGTTGGTCCACAGAGTACCTTAGGATACTGACTCTATGATTCTCTGTGAGCTCCCTGATTTTGATTCTAAATGTTTTTTCCTCCATTCATCTGGAGATGGTGTTAATATCCGTTGCTCTCCCCCTCCCCCCATATAAGTTGTTGGCTGATATGTTTCTCTACTCTCATTCTTAACAATATAGATGAGGTCCTGTCAGAAAACTTTCTGGACTATAAGAACCGTGGAGTCAATGGTTCTCATCGAGGCCAGATCATTTGGAAGATTGATGCCAACTCTTACTTTGTGGAACGTGAGTACTTTTCCCATTCCTGTTTTTTGGGATGAAGCAGAATTCAACTGCTTTGTTCTTTATACTGTTGTATTGCCTGCACTTAGAAAAATGCCATGTGAAAGAGAGACACAGAGTTGATGAGATATTTAAAAATAGTGAATAGTGTACAACAATTGGATAACAGCCATCCAAAACATCCCAGAGGGCCACTCCTTTAATTTCAAAGAACATTTTTGTTCATGTTCATTCATCAGCCTCTGGACTCAGGATCTTATGGCTCATATCCCTTAATTTTTGCTCCATGGCTTCTCCAGCTGCTTTTCAACTTTGTGATAGTTGCCTCTTCTGTATCCTCTCATCCAGTTTTGGCTTTGCTTGACCCAGCTCTTAAATACTCCTTGCTCGTGGCTCCAGCATGCTGGGAATATTCCACTTTTCCTAAAAATGGAGATGATATATTACTACAGCCAACCTGTTCCTTGGTTCCTGATCTACTGCCATTTCATAATGTATAAACTTGTCATCACGTATCTTATTATTTTTTAAAATTGATTAAGTAGCAATGTTCTACAATAAACAAATGGCTTGCCAATTCATAGTCAAGATAAATAAAAGCACTTTAGAAAAATGACATTTTTAAAAATGTTCTGGTGCAAACAAGAAGTTCCCACTCTTCAATATATATACCTGTTGGACTAGCAATAGTCCAGTGCTTTAGAAAAATAGAAGAGAGTGAAATTAAAAGGGTGGATATTTATATTCGCAAATACATCAAATGAGTGATCAGTATACTAAGAATGTATTATTCTGTACGAATATAATTTGTCAAAAAATTTACCAACACAAATTGTAATTAAGCTTCCAGATAATTAAAATATTAACTTGGGACACACATATAAATCAAATAAATTAAAATGTTATAATAATTCATAGCTTCAGGTGTCTGAATGTAGTAAAACTATATATAATGTTATACGAGTGTATATTTTTTAATGTGAAATAATTTGCTTTTTCAGAAACATATGATTGAGCCCAGCCAGGCATGGCTCAGCAGTTGAGCATCGACTTAGGATTTATGAGATCATGGTTTGATTTCCAGTCAGAGCACATGCTCAGGTTGTGGGCTTGATCCCTAGTAGGGGGTGTGCAAGAGACAGCTGATCAATGAGGACTCTTTCATCATTGATGTTTTTATCTTTGTCTCTCCTGCTCTCTTCCTCTCTCTGAAATCAATAAAGATATACATTAAAAAAAAAAAGTATGATTGAAAAAGTTCCAAATTAACAAACAGAAAGAGATTGAACGTACAAAATGTTTCAATATAGCTATCCTTCATTAACACATCAAACAGTTAATAATCCTCTTGTTAAAATAAAAATGCAGAATACAGACCATTATCCAGGTTATAGAAGCTTTGGTTATGAATCAAAAATAAGACTCTGTATTCTTCAGGTAGTGAAAATATGTTAATCTAATTGGTAAGCCATACTTTCTTAAAATTAAAAATAATTTTATAAATTTTGAACATTGCCTGATTTTACATGTTGAGTTACAACAGGAGGTCATTCTTTCTACATGGGGGCTAAATTAAAATACTAAAATAAGTGAGGTTTTCATTTCATTTTCATTTTTTTATTCCCTTTAATTATTTCCTTTTATGAGAGTGGAGGTATATCATTAATTACCTGGGGTCTATAATGTTCTAAAACCCATCAATGTTCTAAAACCCATTACAATTTAATTTAGAATTAGGTAATTGCTATTGATTTATAGATTTTTTTAAAGGTTTGAGTAAATCAGACTTTTAAATTAACCAAATTAGGAACACTCAAAAACAAATATTTTTGCACTCCCCAAGGAGTTACATGCATGATAAAATAAAAAATAAAATAAAGCCTGAATCATTTTCTATTCTCTGGCATAATTTTCCTCTAGTGGGCACCTGGCTATTTGACTACAGTAGTAATTGTTGTAATATGAGAACTATAAAGATGCAAATTTTAATACTGACAAAATCACTATTAAAATTTTAGCTTTATCCATCTTGATAAAATTTTATAATGCTGTATCATTATAGTACCTCAATGACTATTTTTTATGTGCAGTCAGGCTCTGCTGGCCAGTACCAAGCCTTCAGAAGTAGTTACCATAGTCCTTGTAGATTGTGTGCTTCTATCAATTCTTCAAAATTGAGGCTTGTATTGCTCAGAAACAAGGGCCAGAGGTGGTAACTCTGCAAGGAAGTCATCTTTGTCTTGATCTCTGGTGCAGATCTGCTAAGTGTAGCTGCCTGCTTATTCAAGCTCCCCATCAGTAGAAGAATAGAGTAGTATGCTTGGAACAACCACTGATTATAGCCAAAAGAGTTTCTACTAATGGGACCTTCTTTTTTTTCACCCACACTTGTATCATGTCATGTTGTCTTCATGGTCATGATCACTGCCTTTTCACATCTGTCCAGGCATATACTAGAAATTTGCAGTCATTTTTTTATTGCTCTGCCTTGCCTTCTTTTCCTGCCCTGTCCTCAGTATCACCTACTACCAGGTCCTCCCTGGCTTCCAGGTCAGTCCCTCAAAATCAGCCACTTCTCCCTCTCTGCTCTTGCTTCCTGAGTCACCCCTGATTACTGTCTACTCTGAATTCATCACTGTCTGCATTTGTCAGAACATTTCTCAAGCATGTTTTCAAAAAATCATCTTATTTTTAAATTGGATTTATTGGGGTGACATTGGTTAATAAAATTTTCCAGGTTTCAGGTATACAGTTCTACAATACATCATCTGTGTATTGTATTTTGTGTTTACCAGCCCAAGTCAAGTCTCTTTTCATCACCATACATCCCTCTTTAATTTATTGTATTTCTCTCCACCACCCCTTCCTTCTGGCTATCATGATATGTTGTCTGTGTCCATGAGTATTTTCTTTCTATTTCTTCTCAATTCCTTCACACTTCTAAGCCTCCAAATTTCTCCCCTCTAACAACTCTTAGTCTGTTCTCTGTATCCACGAGTCTGTCTCCACTTTTTCTGTTAGTTTATTTTGTTCATTAGGTTCCACATATAAGTGAAATCATACGGTCTTTGTATTACTCTGACTGGCTTATTTTACTTAGGTTTGTCCATACTGTAGCAAAAGGTAAGATTTCCATCTTTTTTATGGCCGAGTAGTATTCCATTGTGTAATTGCACCACAGCTTTTTTTTTTTTTTTTCCTGTCCCCTTTACTCCTGTTATTTCCCATATAAAATGGGGAAAGAGGACTGGGTCAGGCTCAGCTATCACTTTGGAAGCTTCACTTCTAACCTTGGAGATTGTCATTCTCACTCACTAAAGAACTCTGAGTCCAGAGAGTTACATAGCAGTAAATCCAATAATAACCAACCTCCAAAAAGCTCTTCTTCTTTCCACAATTCTCCATGTTCTTGAAAAGGGCCAATTAGTGATAAAGGTGGTAGATCTCTCTTTCCATTTAGGTTGGAAGCTTAAGTGCTTTTGGTTTCAGAGTTGTCTGGCCAGCTCTCTCACTGCTGGCAGCTTCCCATAGATGAAAAATAAATATTTATTGGGCTGCTTCTTCTTGTCAGGCACTGTAACTCACAGTGCATTCAGACAGAAAATGTTCTGTAAATACAGAATCATGTATAACACAGCTTATTTATCCACCCACCTACTGATAGACACTTAGGCTGCTTGCAAATATTGACTATTGTAAATAATGCTAAATAGTGCTGCAATGAACATAGGGGGATGCATATATGCTTTGAAATCAGTGTTTCTGGTTTCTTAAGATATATTCCCAGAAATGGAAGCACTGGGTCATAAGGCAGTTCTATTTTTAATTTTTTGAGGTAACTCCATACTGCTTTCCACAGTAGCTCAACCATCAACAGTGCATGAGAGTGCCCTTTTTTCCACCTCTTCCTCCACATTTATTGATGGTAGCCATTCTGACGGTGTGAAGTGGTATCTCATTGTGGTTTTAATTTGCATTTATCTGATGATTAATGATGTTGAGCATTTTTTCATATGTGTATTGATCATCTGTATGTCCTCTTTTAAAAAAATGTTTTATTTTTTAATTTTTAAAATTTTTCTTAAAATATCTTTTATTGATTTTAGAGAGAGAAGAAGGGACAGGGAGGGAGAGATAGAGACATCAATGATGAGTCATTTATCAGCTGCCTCCTGCCTGCCCCTGCTGGTGATCAAGCCCACAACCCAGGCATGTGCCCTGACTGGGAATCAAACCATGATCTTTTGGATCATAGGTTGATGTTCAACCACATAGCCACACCAGCCAGGCTTAATATGTTTTTATTGATTTCAGGGAGAGGAAGGGAAAGGGAGATGGAGAGAGAGATAGAAACATCAATGATGAGAGAATCATTGATCAGCTGCCTTAGGCACATCCCCTACCAAAAATCAAGCCCAAAAACTGGTAATGTCACTGACTGAGAATAGAACTGAGATCTTCTGGTTCATGGGGTGATGCTCAACCACTGAACTACGCTGGCCAGATGTATGTTCTATTTGGAGAAACATCTATTCAGGTTATTTGACCATTTCTTAATTGGATTGTTTGTTTTTTGTTTTTTTTCTGGTATTGATTTTTGTAAGTTTTTGATATATTTTGGATATTAAGCCTTTAGCAGATGTATTGGTGAATATGTTCTCCCGTTCAGTGAACTGTCTTTTCATTTAGTTGATGGTTCCCTTTGCAGTAACTTTTAACTAGACTCATCAAGAAAAAAGAGCCCTGGCCAGTTTGGCAGTGTTAGAATGTTGACCCATGGACTGAAGGGTTGTGGGTTCAATTCCCCATCAAGAGCAAGGTACCTTGGTTGCAGGTTTGATCCCAGCCCCAGTCTAGGCGAGGCAACCAATCTATGTGTCTTTCTCATGTCAATGTTTCAATCTCTCTCTCTTCTCCTATTCCTTCCCTCACACTCTATCTAAAATAATCAATGGAAAATATATCCTTGGGTGAGAACTAAAAAAAGAGAGAGGAAGACCCAA